TTTTTTTTTTTTTTTTTTTTTGCTAACACAATGGTAAAATGCTAGTTCCAACAGACAGCAAAACTGTTGGTTCTTTTTTTTCCTTTCAGGTATGAATGGGAAATCTTTACAAAACAATTGGATATGCAACTTTTTACACATAGAGTTTGAGGGTTAGTCAAAGATGACCTCCTATTGTGGAATATTACTATCTACTTGTGAATGATTGATGATCAAATTTTTTGTAACTTTCTTTGTAATATAAAAATACGAGCCCGTGGATCGGGTTAAGAGACGTGATTCAAGATAATAGGTTTCACTTTGACCTACATATATTCATTTTTGAAGTAACCTGAGAGAAATGAATTGCGCATGCGCTATGTTATACAAGTAGACCGCCTCAAACGGACTCAGATCCAAAATTAAAGTGCACCATGTACATGAAATTGAAAAACCACGGTTTCCCTTCTACCTCCACATTTGCATGTATATAAGAACACACACCTACATATGATGACTAGCGCTCACCTCAGCAGGCCAGAATAACTCCCAATTAAGATTAACGAAGATAACAAGCCCTACAGACAAAATGGCCGACCAATTTGTTTTGGGGGGGTTAATCATTTTTTCATTAGATAGGAAATTGAATAGGTTTGGTCTTTGATCTTTGCGAGATGAAACGATTAGAGTTTTTGATGAATGCGGTAGGTTAGCGAGGTAATAGGAAGTCTAAGGCCACTATTCATCTGTTACCTTAGCAAGGTCGCAGACAATATATTCAAGACGCTTGCATTCTTGCGAAGAAGCTTAATTATGCCCCGTTAGGATTTTGTTGGAGCTGAAACGAGGTCTTCGGATCATTTAAAGGGATGTCTTACACGTACATGGGATATTATGTTTAACTGTTTTTGAAAAAAAAACAATATGCATATAATCACATTTTATCATGAACAAAGATCGAAATGAGAATTCATTACATATATAGTAAATACGAGGGGTTCAAACATTTGATTTTCTGCATTGCATAACGCAGTGACATTCAGCGGCCGATACAAAAATTGTTAATGACGGAAACAAATGAGATTTCGGTCCCAGTACTCGATATCTCTTCTAATACACATAA